CTATCTTTCATTTCCTGAAATTTTAACAATCAATCTATGCAAAGCTCAACAAAAAGAGACGTAAAAAATACTTAAGATTGAATTACGTTATTTTATAAAAATTAAGATTGAATATATTATTAGTTGAATTAATTTAGTTTTGTAAATATTAAAAAACTTAATTATTGTACGTAACCCGAGAACTGAATGGAACTTAACTCGAACGATTCTATAATTTAATTTGGCCACGACGATTTCATGCACTAAATATCCGAAAAGATTTGGACTATATTCAGCCCTATTATTATCCATTTTTATGACCCTCCAAATTCGTGGTAAAATTCTTAATACAATTATACTATGATTTCTTGTTAATGATAATGCTGCACGACTATTTCCAATACAAGATTGTCGATCATAATCAACAAATAAACAACACCTCACACAAAAAGGATGAATAAACAAGAAATTTAGACAAAATGCTACGTGTATGGCACTATCTTTGATGACATGTCGTGTAAAGTGACAACTCTAATAATATAATGAGGAAAATGAAACGGCCCATTAACACACAAAAAGAGTATTACAAGTTTGGTGCTTTCCTTCATGAGAATTGCATGCTTGGCCACCTCTTATCTCTTGCATTTTCCCCCCATTTTTCCTCCAACAATTGTACATTCAGATTCACACTTATTTTTTGAGCTCTACAAATGGACCCTCAACTAGCAATAAATTACAAAGATTGACATTAAACCTTACCCCCACCCTGTTAGATATATAGACCCCGTTTGGTACACATTAATGTAAAAATAAGAATGAAAAATATAGTCGTTACTGGTCCCACACAAGAGATAGAAAATCAAATATGGTGACTTGATGTGATGGATAATGATCATATTTTTCATTTTAATGAGCAAATAATGGGAAACAAACGGCTACATAATCTCCTTAAAACCAGATTTTTAACAAATTTTAATAAAAATTGATGAAATGTATGGTGGAAAAAGTTGTTGGTCTTATAAAATATATGATAAAAATTAATTGTTGATTTTAACTTTGATAAAAATTTAAATTTTAATCTCTACCTAACATGGACATGTATTATTTGAATAAAATAATTAGATTGAGTAAGTTGGTCGAGTGGCAAAATACGTGCAATTTATGTGAGAGGTTGAACTTCGGTCATTTCTAAAAACTCAATTTTAGTAGTATTTTATTTGTTGAGATATGATTTTGGAGTAATATTGAGAGTTTTGGAAATTGTTTTTTATTGCTGAATAAGTGATTTGATCTTTGTATCCTAAGAAATTTGTCAAAAGTGATTGAAACAATTAATGGCAAATAATTTTACTTTAAAAAATATTATGATGTCACGAACGTTGGTTAAATTTTCTACATTTTCTT